GAGCGAAAGCGGTTTAATCAAAAATTGTTATCCAGAAAAGGTGCTAACTGATTAAAAAAAATTCAAAAAAATAACAGAGCAAATACTTAAGAATTTGCAAGATGGTCAACAAAGAAAAAATAAATTTAAGGGCAATTGTAGACAAAACTTGCTTTAAAAAGAGTTGCCACAGATTTATAATAATAATATGAATTAATTTCTGATAACAAATGTAATATATGATCCTACATAGGCATCAGTGAGAACTTAAAATATATTTTTGTAAGGGTTCCACTTATTGAACCTGCAGCTCCTTTGTGTACCAGGCGCTTTAAACAATAAGTTGGGCTAACTCTGTGGAACTCAGTGTCAAGGCTGGTGAAACTGATCAAGCTCTAATCAAAATTAAGTTAGAATTTTTTATTTATTCCTTTTTTTTGTTTATTTAAATGCATAAAAAACATATTTTTTTGGAAAATATTAACAAAATATTTAATTTTTAAAATATTTATAACGCAGGTACCCAAGAACGTGTCGATATCGTAAGCATTAATTTTGCAATCACCTTGTATTTATAAGGTCAAAATAAAAACAACAAATTAGCCAATCTGCCATCAACTCATCGCGAAAGTGCAGTAAAAGAAGTTTTTTTTTTAAGTAAATAAATTCGAAAATTCTTCCGCTAATAACGATACAGTGAATTATGTTTTTATATATATAAGTATTTACATATGTACGGGTGTGTGTATCATATGTGAATACGGCAGAAAAGTTTTATATTGCGGAATTTTATTTACTTTAAGTCACGTGCTTGCAACATAACTTGACGTACTTGTCGGTGCTCAATCCATGTAAATATGTATGTATCTGTTGGCTGTCTATAACATACACATTTACACATTTGTCTGCCTTCTTAAGTATGCTATTGTTTGTTTACACACTATTTACTGCATTTTTAAATTTATCAATTAATTGTTTACCTGCCAACAAAGTCTCTCTAGATACATACATTTATTGTTCATTCATATTGTTTATATGTATGTACGAGTATGTTACGTTTTGTTTCTATTTTATGGAGGGAAATTTATTCGAATTTCGCTAAGTACGCGTACGCGTTTAAATTATAAATATGGACATTTTTTTTTTATTTTTTTTAATACTTTTTGGATTGCTTGTGGCTACATAATGCATACAAAGTTGGACGGACATTGGAATAAAAAATGTTGCGAAATTCACTGAAGTTGGAAACTAATTTTAATTTTTAAGCAAAAGTAATAAAATTGAAAGAAATTGATTTGAAAAGTAAAAGTTTTTAGTTAAGTTGCTTAGATGGTCAATCAAATCAACTAAGGATAGAATTTTCTAATGGCAATCTCCTGAAAATATTCGCGATATTATATCAATTGACACTATGGAATCAGTGTGGCAACAACAGCAAAAGTGAAGTGGACAAGAAAAGTCGACCAATAACAAAAACGTGAAGATTTTGGTTTTCTTAGCTCGGTGTGATAAAATCCAGTTCTTTGGCAAGACACTAGCTATCCAACGCTCTTTCTATCCAGACAGAAAGGCACCTTTACGACACTCTTATGTTTATTACATTATAGAGACTACCATATTAATTAAGTCGATTCCTTTTATGGGTTGTGGAAACCGTGCATACGCCGCTCGCCGGTTAAAATTAGAATATTCTTACGAATGACAACCGAAATCAGAAACCCAAATCTTCCGGTGAACTCAACCTTAGGCTCAAATCTTAAGTTTTCTTCCTTTGATTTTTAACGAATCGAATCATTCAATACGATGTTAGGCGTTAGCAAAGAAAAAGTAATTTTTTACAAAATTTCAACGAAACGGATGGAATCCACCCATCGCAATAATTGGATTATTTTGTAATGAAATAACTATTGCCATATTTGCTGCCTTCGGGTTTACGAATTAGATGTCATATTTTGTTTCTTTGGACTTATGGCCAACTCCCTGCTAATATCTTAGTCCACGGGATTATTGCATAGTTCGCGGAAAAATGTAATTCCCCAGATGTCAGGCGGCCCGTAACTTGGCGTGTTGAAAGTTCCAGTTTCTTTCAACCCTCAGTATTTCAATGTATTCCCCGAGAAGTATCTTTAACTCACAAAACACATTACTCCAATGACTTTAGAACTATCGGTAATTTTTTAGAACTGCTTAACTCAAAAAAAAAAATTAATTCTCACTTTACTCTGCATTACCGTGCACCGTCAGATAGTAAAATATTTACATACAATATATGATCGATTATTGTTGTTTTTGTTTTTGTAGCTGCTATCCGAGCCTGTTTAGGAGCAACTGGTCCAAGTCTACGTAGTAAGGCATATCTGTCGATTAAAATCAAAAAGTTTTTGCGATTGTCGAGTATTCATACCGGAACGACCACGATTTTGATAGGGCTACTCAACTCTCGACAACTCTGCGGTATATTTTTTCGGCTATAACTACAACAAAAACACTGGTTCAGACCAGAGAGAAAGGCAGCTTAGATGAGCAGGTTGCAAGTGGCATGCAAAGAGGCGGTTAGTGTTGTAGGGATCTTATTGCATGCAGAAATTCTTTTCGGAATGCCAGAAAAAAGTCACTATAAATAGGAATTAAGTCGACTACAATAACCAGATCTTGATTGCGCCAGTATTTCTCGGGTCTCTCGAAGCAACTATAGCTCTTCGTCTGCAATGGTTGGGGCTATAATTCTGAGAACATCGTTCTCTGTAAAAGTTTTCAAGAAGGTGTTGGGCAAAGGTTCTTATATATAATACTGAAAGGAGTATGTGTAAAGAAGAAATCCCTTCATCATATGCCTAGGTGGTGATTCAAGCACGGATGCTATCGACGGTAGTAGGGATGAAATGGGAAAGCTAGGCGAGATAGCTGTTTATATCCTACCCAGATCAATGAAACAGCCTTTGATGAAGATGCGAGTTTCGATATGATATGAAATTTAGGGAACAACTGCAGAATACAGAAGGTTAAGGTAGAAAAAAAAATACAAAAGTAGGTGTGGTCTACCCTGCTTTCCTGATTTTAGTGATATACATTTTTTTTGGAGCCATGTTTTATTTTCGTATGGAGGTGAAGGGGGAATTTTCGAAAACTGTAAAAAGGTTTCATTTTGAAAACTGGTATACCAAATTTATAAAACTTAATATCGTTGGAAAGGTTAGTAAAATTTCTCTTTTTTTGATGTCCACAATCGATACTTTCTGAAGATAAATTTTGAGAAAACCCATTTTTTTATAGAAAATCTATTTTCTATTAAAATCTTGTTTAATTGACCATAAGCTCAGCAACCAGATATAAAAGGAAAATATCTTTAATTTGATAAATAAACAAAATATGAAATTGAATTAAATTAATCAATATGACCATGAAGTAACATTTCGGCGGACTTCGGTCATAAAAATAACCTGGGCCGAACCAACACCAGCTTCGACTTGCACAGTATTCTTGAGTGCAACTCCTTTGCAAAGTACGCACATTTACGAGTGAAAAGTATCTGCACCCAAATTAAACGTACTTTTATGCTCTTTTTAATTAATATTATTTTATGTTTAATTTATTACACAAAATGTGAAGAAAATCCATTTTTCTATCAAAAAAAAATAAATATTTTTTTGTTGCTGAATTTTTTCTAAATTTATCGTAGAAAAGTATAAAAAAAGCATAAAAAATAGGAATTTCAGTCACCTTTCCAACGATACCAAATTTGGTGTACAACTTTTCAAAATATAGCGTTTTATCATCTTCGAAAATTCCCACTTCACCTCCGCATATCTACGAAAATAATAGTTTGCCCCAAAAAAAATGTTTAATCATTGATTTCATTTTGTTCTACCTTAACGGTCTGTGTTCTGCACTTATGCCAAATAAAATCTGTCAAAAACTCAAAAGGAAAGGAAAGCGAAACTTTGATAAGTATTAAATTATTATTGAAAAATTTTTGCAAGCACATCAGATGGCTATGATTATTTTCTGGAAGTTCAGTTTCACTTAAAAATATTAAAATTGTTTTTTTATCCAATTTCTTGAACTGACTTTTTTGTACGAATTTACACCAGTTGCTTGTTTCTTTTCCATCTCTCACTGCATACTACATATTTTTGCACACTTTACCTAATCATTGATCGCGTTTATATAATTGATTTGAATTCAATTTGAACTTGACATTTTGTATTGCAAAGCACGCCTACAAAACTCTACAACAAACAAGCTTAACTTTTCGAGACGCTGTCTGAAAGTTTTTGCTAAATCACTAAAGCGGCGGACGACCGACCCTCACAACCGCTATACACTTTCACACGCTTCTTTATCGCTTTGTTTGTTTAGAACGTGCTTGGCATTGCATCTTGCTTTGTAGAAGCAATTTTTTGCAATAAAACTTTCACACACATACGAGCACAGACGCAGAATAAAAAAAAAATGGTTGATCTTACTTTGATAATTTTTGCAATACTTCACGTTGCTCTTTGGTCTGAATTATTTCAGAAATTTCAGATTTTTTTAAGCACAAAATCAAATTTAACTATATTTGACCACACTCAACGAATTTTTTAAAAAAGCATTTGGATTTGCTGTTATTTAAATTTAATTTGCCGGATTCTCGATTGTTTTTTTTTTTTTTGTAATTTTTTTTTTTTAATTTGAACTCTTCGCACTTTACGCGAACGCGTTTTTCTGTCGTCTACCGCAACGGCATTAAACGCACAAAACCGACTGCATTCAAAGAATATTTGCGGCAAACTAAACTCGGCGATAACCAGCTAAAGTGAACTGCTAAAAATCCAATCCGCGCAACGCTTGACAACGCCACGCGCTACAGTTGCTGAGCTGAGCCAAGTGCCCGCAAGAGCTCTGGCTAGTGCAAGTGTAGAAGAAAAGCGCACAAAAACATGAAAAAGCAAAACAAAAGACAAAGTGGGAGCTGGAAGCTACGTAGAAAGAGCAAGCAATGGATGTAGCGCGAGCGTGTGATACCAAAATCCACAAATAAATTGTCGTATGTGCAAAGCTCCATGTGTTGGAGCTTTTTGGCTGAGCATAGTGTTTGAAAAAATAATCAAAATTAACTGTGAGTTTTTAAAAATCAAGATTTTCGAATTTTGAAATATTTTACGGTAAATCCAAATAAAATAATTTTTTAATTTCATTTTAAATATTTTCTCTATGTTATTCCAGTTCATAGCATTATACACCGGCAAACAAGTTCCACATCAGCCCACAAGCTTTACGAAAATGCAACCGCCTCGTGTATTGACAAAAGAAGAAAGAGACAAGTGGGAGTTGATAAGAATAGCCAAAAGCATGAAACGGACTTTTGAAAAACGTGCAGAGATAAATATGTCGAGGGAGTGTAAAACAAAAACGATGTACCGTTAAATATGCATATTTATATCATATCCCAGTTAGCTATCATAGCAGCACTCCAAAGAAAATACCGTTCTCTTAGCAGTTCGAAAAAAAAAACTTTTGCGAGAGTTTCAAATCAACTTTTGCTCCCGAGCGGATTAAATGCATTCTTAACAACACTTGATAGGGTAAATCGTGGATCAGGGTTCTCTGCATATTATCAAGATTTTCGCCAAAGCATGAAGGAGCGGGCTTTTCAGTGGTTAATTAAGTTTTTTCCCGAATTGTCATACACAAAAAGCAGAGTCTGATATTTCAAAAACGATTCGCCATTTTTTGACCGAAAATCTCCGAATTTGTAGTAGATCTCAATGGCAATATATTGACATGATAACGAAAGACTGAAGCTAAAATATCTAAAGATACTTTTCCTGCAATCCCATACAGCATTCCCATCACGAGTTATTCGCCGACAACTTATACGATGCTAGCGACGAACAAGGAGAGCGGCAACGGCAAGATCTAGCCAACATCGAAAGATGATATCAAGAAGTTCGGGGTGAAGGCATAATGAGTAACTATTGTTGGACTGTAATAATTGAAACAGACATCAAGTAATGCCAAAGTCTCAGTTCCACCTATTTTAATTTCTAATTTGTAACTTTTAAGGTCACGTTTTCAAAAATTTCAAAAAATCAAAATTTTTTCTAGTAAATTGCTGGAGTATAGTCTTAGGAACAAAACAGAAATAGTCCCGAAAGTCCGCAAGAACAAGAATTAAGTATAGCAGAGGGGAGAGCGGAACGCGCCAAGCGGTAAATCCAGTCGCTCGAGCACTTTAATCGCCTTTTTCTCGAAACCACGTTTTTTCAAACTGGACACTCTTGTTTAGAGCCGATTGTACTTATCAAAATGAACTAAATGACATTTTACTCCTAAAATTATTCTCTACGGTCGGTACTACAACCAAAAATATTCATTGTTATTTAAAAAATGCATAAAAAATTAAAAATTTAAAAAGGGTAAAATGAAAATTTTTCATTGTAGATTCGGCCATAGCCAATGTGATACAGAATAAGAAACCATTTTTATTTTTGCTTTCTGATTTTTTTACAGATATCGTATCACTAAGCAACGTGTTTCAGCGGCAATTTTAAGAAAACAATATTTTTTCTATTGATATCTAAAAACTTTGATTTAGAAATATTTTCTTTTAAATAATTAAAATTTGTTGAAAAAAAACACGTTTTTTGGAGGCCTTAATTAATTAATTGTAAAAAACTCGTTAAAAATTAAGTTACTGAATTATCAAAAATTATAATCAGTTTTAAAAAGTCAAGTGAAGATTCGGATTAAGCGTCGAAAAGCTATCATACAAACAACTTTTGATAGGTGAAAATCCGTGTTTATTTTTTTTATTATATTTTACAAGTTTTTCGGAATTTCGTTGTGAGCAAACACTGAAATGATGCATAAATGCTAGAATTGTGAGTCAGTGAACTCGTTCGTTTTGCTTCAAGAAAATAAGTGAAGGTTGCATAGATAACTTTACCACTAGTAAATATGCTAACAATTACGGAATAAAATCATTAGACTGGCGCCTTCATGTAGCGTCAGATAGCCCTCGTGCGAACTATAGGGCGCTACCTGAAAAGTACTTCAGCGAAAATGTGTGTTGCAGCTTCGGCTCTAATGTCCGTAACAAGAGTCAGTTTAAAAATTACACCAAGAATTCGTATATTTGTATTTAAATTTTTTCCCTTCATTCATATATTATATGTATTAAAAGAAGTTGGAAAAAATTCTGCTGCATGTTGGTCGAAATGGTTCCGAATGGTTCCGAGCCGTTAATGAAAAGATTATTAAACAAATTAAGAAAACTCAAAAAAAAAAATATTTTATTATTTATTTATAATTATTTTAAATGTTATTAATGAGCATGAAGACTCCAAAACTAGTCTTTTTGACGCTCATGGTTTGCTGGGGTATGTACATACATCCATATGCATTTATACATGAATGTATATATAAAACACAACGAATCGAAACTGAAAAGAAACTGAAAGAAACACATTTCGAGTTCGCGCTAACTGTTGTTATGCAAATATTGCGTCGGTTGTTTAAAAAAAAAACGAACAATGCATTTTTGAGAGTGAGCGTGCATGAGCGTACGCCAACATAAAGTTGGAGAATATGCTAAACGAACGTACTAAAACCGATAGCGAATGCAGTGGCGAACAGTGTAGCAAGTTAGAGCTGAACATCCGAACAGAGAATTTAATTTTGCTAAATTATTATTATATTATAAATTGGTATTATTGATTCAGCACGGAAATGAAAATTTAGCGAAAAGAAATGTCGAGCGATATAAAAATTCATTTATGCATTCCTGCGGTTCCCGAACTTAGTTAATCATCCCTGTTTTGTTGATGTTGTGTGTCGGCTGATGGGAAAAAATCAACAAGTTTTAGATGTGACTTTAGACGTGACTGTAAAATCTTATGTAATAAATATAAAATGGATACAATTGCCTTTTTGATAATAGTAGTGATAGTGATTCTTTGGACAGCCGATTAGACCGAAGAGAGTTTTACGCTATAAATCTGAAGATGTGGCGCAAGTAACGATGCAGAGTAAGTTGATATAAACAAATGGTAAATTAAAGCTATGTTTACTTTTACAGCTTCCAAAAAAATTTCATTTAAATTAGATTTAATACCGCACAGTCTATAGACAGAATTATAGTAGAAAGAACTATTGGCTATGCACTTCACAACATTCGACTTCATTACAGTATTACAGGCGAGGAACTTGGCTTTCCATTACATGAAAAAGTAGATCCAATAAACGATCCTGAGATTTTAGTGGGGACGCAAAGGAAGAAAAAATATAAATAAAAAAATAATAACAAAAAATTATCACAATTCATATTTTATGGAATTCAGATATGTAAGTGGTTCCATCGTAACTTTTTGTCCAGCTTCTCTATTTCAAGTTAAAAAATTTTTCCCTCCAGAGCAATCTTAAACAACACCATAAAAATTGAACGTGAGAACGCAACAACGGAAGGATACCGCAGCGGCGGAAAGAATAAAATATTTGCTACCGCACAAACAAAATATTATCCGCAGCCGCGAAACCGAATCAACAACCGAGTACTTCAGTAAAGCCTAAGTGGTGTATGTTATGTCTTTTGACAAATTTCTGCCTGTGGTACTTTCCGATTCTTCGAATACAGCTGCTTAATGCTCGGATCAGATAAAATTTATAGTTATCGTACTTGAGCTTTAAAGTAATGTTAAGAAGACGTGATTGTTGTTAAATTATGGTTGTGTTGAAACTATTTTTCTGAAGTGGAATTTATATAATCGTAGCAATACTCTTGATTCCATTGTGCATTTTATCCGACTTGTTTTCCAACTCCTGGATCATCTCATGATACTTAGCTTCCTCCTGTGGCTACTGGCCCTGACTGGGTCAGAACGGAGGTTTCAGGATCTTCAATCCCCTAATTGAAAAATATTTTTTTTTCCACTAGCAGTCACATGACAAATCCTCTCAGAAATAAAACTTTAGTTGCTGGAAATAATTTCTTAAAAACTCGAAACTTAATTTTACTGCAGTCACACACTCATCGTTAAGACTAACTTCCTTGCTATGATATTATTAATCATCTTATTTAGTTATTTGCTTTGGGGATAACATTTCCAAATATTTTAAGGCCGTAGTCTGCTTTAAAGTCTTCTTCTTATTTTTCTAAAACTATACAAGAACATGTCTTAAAAACTTCAGTGGTCCATTCGACAAATTTTAGATGTTGGCGTTGTTTTAGTATCCGAGCGTCGAGCACGTTCAAGTTTACAAGTCTTTTAAGTCGGTGCCGGTGATAGCAAAAAGAATGCGAGGAGTGATCAGAAAATATCAGTTTTATTTTAAATTTCGTGAGCCACGTATGTTAGATTTTCGTTTAGGTATGAAACCTGCGGCAGCGAAGGTTGTTCCAAAATTGCTAAATTTTAAGCTCAGGAGGTGTTGAATATCGTCAACGACGATCCAGATTACCTCAAAAAGGTCATAACTGGTGACGAATCATAAGTGAATGGCTATGACTTTGAAATGAAAGCCAAAGAACAAACTTAATACAGTTTCTTTGATCCATTTTTTTGAATAGTGAAAAATCGAAGAGCACACCAAAACACGAGTAACCTTTTTATCTGTCAAAAACAAACTGGCAATCCGAATTGGCTGATATTTCTCAAACTCACGAAATTTGAAAATAACGGTTATTTTCTGATCACCTCGTATTCGTATGTTTGCCTGATCTAAAGCACCCAAAGTGATCTATCTTCTATTTAAACTAAAAAAGTTGGGTAAAAGTATTATATATTTTTTTGGTTCACATGGACACTCATAAAAATAAAAAAAAAATGGTTCACAGTTTTAGATGCATCGCACGATGGCATCGGTTCACAAGTTCAGACTGCAACCTCATCACAAGGTTGGAAAGTTCCAATACTTTTTGATGCCAAATAATGTTTTTTGAAGCTTAAATGTTATCGTCCGAATTTCGTTTACCGCAATAATTGTCTTCCCTTTCAAAAACAAACCGAAAGCTGAAGAAACCCATTTTTTAGGGTTCTCAAGAAGACTACTTCTGCCTTAACTAAAGCGATGAAATTTTTTATACAATAGTTAAGATGCCTTAATTTAAACCACTTTTTTTTTATCTTGACCATTGTACGCTGTGCACAATGCACAATGCATAGAAGCCGGCTACCGAAGACGACGCTCTTTTATAACCCAAACACAAACTCAAATAATAACTGTACATACAGCAGAGGTGATATGGAAGGATTGTATAAAAAGGAAGCAAAACAAAAATATACAAAACAACGAGAATTATTGTAATGCAGGAAAAATTCCGCTTTTATGTACATAAATATGTACATACACGTATGTATGCATATCTTTCGCTCAAGAAAACAAATAAATACAAAAATTTAAATGCAAGCGAACGATGTGGAATTGAAAGAGACGAAATATGTGTACATACATTCGTATATACATACATACATACATCCATATGCACATACATATTTACGTTTGCGTGGAGCAAAATGCAATAAGAACAAATATTATACTCGTATATATTTATATATGTGTGTATTTATTTTTACATTGATCAAAAATATTATTTTTTATATATAGTATAGTATAAAATGCACATCGATCACATACATAAATACAAACATTCATATGTTTTTTTTATATTCACATTACTGTGCAGTAATTACATATAAACATGAATGTACATATATACATATGTATGTATGTAAGTTCATGTATTTATAAATTTACATACACATACATATATTTCTAGCCGGTTTCTACAATCCGGCTCATTCCACAATTCCATCTTTCTTATCAATTGCCTCAAAACATTACTTTGAAAAAATCGGCAAAAAATGTAAACAAATGCCAGCTCCCAGCTCTCTGTATCAGCTTGCCCGCTTTGTGATTATGCTCTCTCGTCTTATCACTTCCCAAACGTGAATGGCCCCGTTGAGCCAATGACTTTTCATTCCCGTTTGTCTTTGTTTTGTGTTTTTCATTACTTCGCCGCTTCTTTGCTCCACTCACGAACCCGATGTGCTCGAATATTGTTATGGGCTTTGTGGATTGTATATGTACATACATACATATGTATATTGGAATACATTAACTTCGATACTGTGCTTTGGTATCCAATTACACGAAGCTTTCCAACGCCCACAAACGCAAACGCAAACGCAAACGGTCAGAGAGTCGTTCTCCCACACAAACTTACAGTTCACTAAAGCGCTCTCCACCACTTGCAGCGTTTCTCTCTCCCACATGTGATTGTACTTACATACATACAAATATATGTATGTATGTGCATATATTCTAGCATTTATCGCTGATAATGTTTATTTGAATGTGT